GTCAGATTCAGCTAAAGTGGGCCAGCAATATGTACTTTTTTGCATTTTAATACGTTAACTGCAATAACAAATAATACAAAGACTGTCAAAATAATAGAGCCAGGTGGTTGGATGAGAAAAAATGAAAAAATAAAATGTCACTCAAAAAGGAAAATTGTTTTAGGGGCCTTACAAGCACTAATGACCAAAAATGTGAATTAAGAAAATAAATAGGGTCAATTTTAATTTCATGTTAACGTCAATGATCAGATCGATGACAGATGATATTAATTAGGGTGTTTTTTTATCATAAAACTATAATATTTTATTACTATACTATAAAGGTTCATAACTATAATTCATGAACCTTTATGCCTTTATGATGCTGTGAATGCTTTTTATTGAAGCATGACATCAATTTACAACAAAGAAAAGTTCCCTGCTTTATTTTTTAGATATTGCTAATACCATTTTTTTAGGGATAAACATCACTAAACCAGTGTTCTTTCATCTTTTTAAGGACAAGGAGCTTTATTTTTTAGATATTGCTAATACCATTTTTACATTTAGGGATAAACATCACTAAACCAGTGTTCTTTCATCTTTTTAAGGACAAGGATGTCTTGATGGAAAGTGAAGTGCAACTCTTGATATTGTATAAAATTGAGTGCTACATTTAAATCCTTGCCTATGATTACATGTATAATACCATATTTATGTATTAACTTACATTTCGAGGCTAATAAAATAATCACTTTTGATGTAAAAATCACATACCTGTTCATGACATCTTAAGTTTACTTTTTATTGTTAATTGTGCATTTTTTTCGACAAAAAATGGCATCTCAGAACGCTGACTGTTTCTATAGCAACCAGAGCTTCTAACGGCAGTTGCATTGCCGCGATGACTTTACAGATTAGCGATTGGTTCTTTTATTCAGAAGGTGGGATTATTCCACCATATTGTGTATTGCACTTTCTTCCATTCATAAGTAATAGGAGTGCACCGTCTTTGTATATCTAAAGTCTTTGACTTGACTAAACAAACTAAGGCTAAAGGCCCGTTCACACCAAGCACGATAACTATAAAGATAACGATAAAGATATAGTTCTAAAAATCTTTCTCAATATACAATAATAGCATCACACCACAACTATAATGATAACGATACAGAGGAACAATATCGTTGTGATCACTTTCAAAACTATTTTTTTTCCAGCTGATAAAACACTGACATCCAATCAGAATCCATCCTGCTGTAACGAGCTCAAGAATTTAAAGCGGCAGACGCAGAATCACTGCTGCTGAGGAAATCAGCTTTGACAGATTCAATTTTGAATTTACACAAGAGGGAAAAGGTATTCACAAATGAGATTCCCATTGTGTCAAAGTTTCATTTACACAAGTAATCTACAAACCAAATTCCAAAAAAGTTGGGACACTGTACAAATTGTGAGTAAAAAAGGAATGGAATAATTTACAAATCTCATACACTTATATTTTATTCACATTAGAATATAGATAACATATCAAATGTTGAAAGTGAGACATTTTGAAATGTCATGCCAAATGTTGGCTCATTTTGGATTTCATGAGAGCTACACATTCCAAAAAAGTTGGGACAGGTAGCAATAAGAGGCCGGAAAAGTTAAATGTACATATAAGGAACAGCTGGAGGACCAATTTGCAACTTATTAGGTCAATTGGCAACATGATTGGGTATAAAAAGAGCCTCTCAGAGTAGCAGTGTCTCTCAGAAGTCAAGATGGGCAGAGGATCACCGTTATTACAGTGTGAGGACGCTCTGATGGGGTTTCACTTGGCCCTTAAGATACAACAGAACATGGAAATGTGACAAAAATTAGACATTTGAAATGGTTAATCTGTGTGAAAGCTGGTCAACGAATTCAAGCTGATATAAAAATAATGTCAGTTGAACAGGCTTATGTAATGCACTGCCAGCCGTGGCACAGGACCGAATGAAAAGCAGACCATTGCATTTCAAAGTGCCCTCAGGAGCAGAATGTAGCCTACAAATCAGTCAACTGAGGATAAAACCAAGAAATCATAATGGATTTTTACAGCTGCATCCTGGCTGCCTGGTCCTTCAAAGTTAACATGAAATTCAAACTGCCCCTGGTCTTATTGGCCGTGTTTCCATCTAGTATTATGGTGCTTTTCCACTGCATGGTACTGCACGGTACGGCTCAGTACGGTTCACTTTTGGGGGGTTTTCCACTGGGTACAGTACCTGGTACCTGGTACTTTTTTTAGTACCACCTCGGTTGGGTTTCCAAATGAACCATACCGTTACCAAAACGTGACGTGTAAACTCTGCTGATCACGGATTGGCCGGAGAGAATCGTCACTACCTGCATCACTGAACTTGCGACACAAACACAACAGAACCGCGATTTAAATCAGCACAGCCAGCGAAGGATCGAACGCAACTGTTTTGAACGAGCACACCTTTTTTTTTAACAACCAAAAAGTTTTGTTGTCTATTGAGGAAGAACAGACGTTCCTCTCGTTGATAGCAGAGGAGCGGATTCAGCGAGAGCTTGATGGGGCGACGCGGAATGAAAACGTTTTTTTTTAGGAGTCGTGGTAGTAGAGGTGGCGCAACTATAACGACATGTGAATAATCCCGCCCACTCTAAAGCGGTACTGAACTGCTGTGGAAACGCAAACCGTGCCGAGCCGAACCGTGCCGTGCCGTACTGATCCATACCGAGCCGAGTCGTACCACGCAGTGGAAAAGCGTCATTAGATGCTTTGTGTGATCCGATCAAAAATGGTCAGCCAGGATGCATTGCTGTTTCTATCTGGAAATCACATGAATTCAAATTTCGCTGAGACCCTACCCTCCTATTGTGTCACCCAACATCGCTTTTGCAGGAACCCATAATGCTTGGTTTACAAGCTAATTAGAAAATAGGTGAATGAAAAGGTAAAGGAGCGCAATTGCAATTTTTATCATAACCCATGTCTTTTGGTTCAACACAACAAAGTTTAAAGAGATACTCCACCCAAAAAAATGAAAATTCTCTCATTATTAACAAATCTTCATGCTGTACCAGATATACATGACTTTCTTTCTTAAGCACAAGTAAGGACCATTTTGATGAATAATACAACATAGGTATCCTCATTGTTGTAAACAAAGAAAGCATCAGCTCCAGACTCGTGAACATGATCAGGACCAAGACCGTTTGCCTGAGGCTCTGGATTACAGGTAATAATGTGGTAAATAATGTTCAGTTTCTTGCACAGACAGATCATTTCGCTTCATCAGACCTCAATATATCGTCAAGAGCCACAACTAATAATTTTGTGTTTCCTGACATGCTTTTCTGACTCTCAAAGTTCCGGTAGACATTGACTTGCTTTTTATGAATCACCAAAGACCATAGTTTCAGCTGAAAATGTTCTTTACTGTTCTACTAAAAAAAGAAGAAAAAAAATCACATCTTGGATGGCCTGAGGGTTAGTAAAGTTTTTGGGTGAACTACCCCTTTAAAACCAGGTGGAAACATTTTTGTGTTGCTCTTAAATAGTGACAGATGCAGGATAAAAGGGAGGAAAACAGATCTTCCTCTTTCATTTTGATAAGGGAGTAAAAAAAGGCAGCGGCTATTTGCACTAAGTGTAAATAGAGGCTAGTTATTGCAAATAGTGGCAATTATCCACACCTCAGTATTATAGTTCATTATAAAACAGTATGCAGTAATAATGTATTGAGTGTAAATTATCATTTTAATTAAAAAATTATTAAAGAAGACATATTATGCCCCTTTTTACAATATGTAATATAAGTCTCTGGTGTCCCCAGAATGTGTCTGTGAAATTTCAGCTCAAAATACTCCACAGATCATTTATTATATCATTTTGAAAATGCCTATTTTGAGTGGAAGCAGAAACACGCTGTTTTTCGGGGGTGTTTCTTTAAATGCAAATGAGCTGCTGCTCCCCGCCCCCTTTTCCAGAATAGAGCTGCACCATTACAGCTCGGACCAGCTAAAAACATCTGTTTTGGTTCTGATTATCATGTTTATCATGCTGAAAATCATGCATTTTAAACCATATGAGTTTAAACTTCTGATATACGGTTTTCTGAGCGCACACAACCGAAGCACACGCACAGAAAGCGGCTGTCTCAGCATGTGAGTACTAAACTGAGTTCTCATTCACACACAAGTTTACGTTAAAAACACACGAGTTACAAAAACAGTGGGTTATGTCTTTGAAGGTAAACAGCTGGGAAATAAATCGCATGTTTATTTTAGATCTGTGTGGCAGCAGCAATATACAGTAAATAAATCAATAAATGCACTGCTCTGTTGTCTCCTCTGAGGCTGGGACTAAGACAGAACAGTTAGCATGTTTTGCTCAAACTTTCGACATTGCATTAGAACTAGTACACCGTTGTCACTTGCAAAAACACAATAACGGCGCCGTGGGTGTAAACTTACAGATTAAGGGGAGGTAATATTATAATGAGATCCCTCTGCCACATCACCAAGGGAGCGAAATCAGACGCACTCGTTTTCTCAGACGCTTGCAGAAAAAGGCTTCCCAAAACAAAGTTACTGGGTTAATCTTTTTCACGTTTCCTTGGTTGGTACATGCACCGGAGACCTGGAAAAGTCAGATTTTCATGATATGTCACCTTTAAACGGATGCCACCTTATTGGGACAATAAAAGCCCTCCCTACACTTACCCTAACCCTACCTGATACTTTATTTTCAACTTTTTGATTATTTCCTTAATTTTTATTGAAAATAAATGCCTTTCCGATGTGATATGAGATTTGAAAAGGGAAGAAAAAAAGTTCGGTAAAAGGCAGATTCGAACCCGGGTCGATCGTGTCAAAAAGACTACGATACGCATTTTACCATCTACGCCACTGAAGCCGACGACTGTCTGCCGTCTTTTATAGTGTTGACCATCCTTATCACACGTTTGTGGGTGGAGCTAGTATAAATAGACACTGCGTAAAAAAAATGTGTTGGAACTTACAGGGAAGTAGAGAAGTACAGATCCTGAAAGAATCGCTTCAAGAAGTATAAGACTAGATGCTTTGATTCTCTGAAAAACACGAGAGAGAGAGAAGTAATAGGAGAGAATCCTGAACTATGACATTTTGAAAAGCAGTATTTGCCCTTCAGTTCAATAAACCTGCTCAAGCAGAATTCAAGCTCTAGTTTTTCTTTCAGGTAAGTCTAGCAGAATAAAAGCAGAATAGAGCCTTTCCAGGCAAGATAATCAACAGTAAATGTTCTTACCTTGTTGCGACGAAAGTGGTAGACGACAGCCATGCTGATGAGGTCCACGAGCATGCAGAAGCCCTGAAAGGAGACCATGGCGAGGCGGAGAGCCGTGTCCTCCTGAGCCAGACACGGGGTGTCGCCTGTGCAGAACGGACAGCCTTCTCGGCAGGGAAAACACCTCCCGGACAGTTCCCAGGATTCATCAGAGTACGTTCCCCTGTCTGATTCTAACAGGTGGATGACAAAGAACCATACTATGACATAATGTTTGCATTTTATACAGCGTTGTGACTGAAGGATTTATGCAAAACCATGTGGACTGAACTCAATTCTCATCAAACGTTACCACCATGAAACTGCTGAACTTGACCAATTGATAAGTGGTTAATGGGAATGTTATACCAATGTTATTCAGAACTCTGAAACCTTTTTGTAATTATAAATGATGTTTAAGCAGTGTTGGGGAAAGTTACTTTTAAAAGTAATGCATTACAATATTGCGTTACTCCATAAAAAAGTAACTAATTGCGTTACTTAGTTACTTCTTATGGAAAGTAATGAATTTCATTACTTTTGTGTTACTTTTTTCTCACCTGGACTGGGCTTGCTTATTTGTTTTTTAATAACAAACACCCAAAAGTTATATTTTGGGTGTTATATTTATAAATTATAAAGTTAAGTAGGAGCCTTCCTGCAAAACTGTTCATCTCATTGCTGTTTAGGAGAAAGAATGGAGATATTGAAAATCTTCTTTATGGATTTATTGGTCAATAAGGCATGAAACACATGGAAGTATATCTCTGCTGAAGTTAATGTGGAGTTCTTCTGAAGATCATTACGGTTGACCCACCCTAGCTTCTGCTAAGAACCTTGTTAATCTGGCTTTGTCCAAAGTGATTTCTCCTGAGGGAGTGAAGTCAAGAAATAGTAACCTAATAATGCAGAGCACACACAATGACAGAGAGCAGAGAACAGACTATAACCGCAGAGGCTCCTGCAACAATATTCACTAAACTTAGATTGGATGATTTTCAAAGAGTCCCAGTCCCTGTCTGCTTCTGAAATATTTACATGGAAGCCCTGGTTTATCAAATATGAAATAAGGTAAATGCGTGTATCTGCCACGTGTTTGGACAGAGCTGCAGCTTTTTGTAATTAGTCCACATTTGCCTCTATGTAAATTAGCCAATACTGTCTTCATGCTTATTTTACTTCATTACTTTATGAATCAGGCAAAACAAACAGATATCACCATACTTTCCCCAGTTGATTAATCACAGCACACTGTATTACAGTTTTTTTTTAAATGTTATGTTTAAACGTGTAAATGAGGTATTATCTAATTAAAGAGCCACTCATTTGCATAATTTTCAGAACATAAATCTGAACATTGGATCAAACCAGGTTCAAACCGAATTACCGAGTGAATTTTGCATCTCTTTTTTTATTACTCCATAAATCAGAAAATGCTGTCAACAGACAGAAAAGAATACATTTTCACTACATTTTTTAGGAATAAAATGTCATACAAATCAGGCGAACGTTATATGAACAAACTGCAAAAGGTTTTCTGCAAAAACCTTCAGAATTTATATAGGAATAAAACTGGAAAATTTGGAAGTGGAGATTTCTGACTCGATAGATAATGCAAACAGATAATGAACAATTAAATGTGTATTATGGATGTTTCCTTTCCACTTTCTGAAAGAAAATTTACCTCAGAACTGACCAGAGCCTGGAAAAACATGAGTTTTGCCTAAAGAATTTTGCCTTAAAAGTAGAGGAGACTCATTTCAATAGAGCTATTTTTACATCAGTTTACATGTGAGCGTGTGAGAGAGGAATATTGTTCTTAACAACTAGGACTCTCCATATTAAATAGAGATAAACTCTGTCACCCCAAAACCAATTCACATAATAAATCCAGTGTCCTGCCAGTTCAGATTTGTACTTACTTGAGATGCCATTGAGCGCCACTTGGCTTGGGTGGTAGAAACCACTCTTGCATTGGCACTTGTACTTGTCCAGCACAAATCCATGGCCCGCAATCGGTTTACACTAGCAAAAAAAAAAGGGTTTAGTTTTACAACTGGACTTCATTAGTAAAAGGACTAAATATTTTTATTATAGGACTATAAATAACTGTTCCACTACCTCCTTCTCCATTTTTAATCACTGAAACCTTAACTGATGCTAGAAATTATATAATTTTGTTCAACACAACTCAGTATGAGCAAGGAACTTCCTGAGGAAATCGGCTCTGCCAATAGACCATCTGTGACAGTGGTATCACAGTCATTTATCACATTTCCAGGTATGAAAATGTCAGTTTATGAGTTATTATGACAGTCAACAGATGTGCAGCAGTTTATTTTTCATACTCTGTCAACATCACGGTAAAGCTCACATGAGTGTGCAAACAGATGTGCTCACAGCAGCTTTCTCTTTAAAGACCCTTAGTAATGAGTAATGACTGCCAAGCTTGAAATCAAAACATTACATTTACAGGTTTTATGTTTTATGTGTTGCTCTTTAGATATTTTAATATCTATCTAGCTTATTTAAAGATACTAATATTATGTATTTATACATCATGGTAGTATTTGTTGTACTACTAATTTACACCAATTCAAATATGAAATGTTTTTAAAATTCATTGTACTATAGTACTATACTTTAACAAAGCAAAAATGTATAAAACTATAATACAATAAGTAAAGGGTAATGTACATCCAGCTAGTTGTTATTTCATGTGTAAATAATTACACATGAAATATTGATTTGAGTTGAAATATTTTATTAGCTCTTTAAATGCAAAGCTTCTGCAAAGAAAAACAGTTCCTAACAAACGGCTAGCTGTCGCCATCTTGGCACCGCGTCACTCCCGGATAATCGAAAATGGGCAAAGAGGCAGGAGCTGGTTGCTGAAACCACGCCCACCTAGTTTGACGGTGGTGACAGCAGCGGCAATCCACCTGCCACTCAAGTGGCCATGCCCTTAATTATGCAGAACTTTAAGGCTTAATATAATTTAAACAGATGAGTTATAAAAAAATTCACCCCCTCACAGTTGTCATGAAGGGCAAAATTAGCTATATAGACCAAAATCATTTTTTGAACCAGGCTGTAAACCAAGCGGCAACCTCCCGGTCTCTCGCTTGAAACCAACACGGAAGGGACTAAAACTGCAATTCATCGACTGACCGCTAGAGGCTGGCTCCAATGAGCTAACGTGTGCTTGCGGAGGAATGTAAATACTGACGAGAATGAACAAACAAAACTCCCGCGGCTAGTAGAACGGCTTACAGTTAATGAAGAGCACTTCTAGATCTGAACAGCACATCTTCTTTAACACAGTTACATCTGTACACCACCTCTCACTGATGTAAAAGCATGTCCTGCCGCCGTGTGATTTCCCCGTTGATTCTGCGTCGCGATCTGCTCTAAACAGTTGAAATCCTGGCAGACTCAACGCGCTGTCCGCAATAGCGTCTTTCAACCAGGTTTCCGTGAAACACAGAGCAGCAGAGTTTGAAAAATCCTTATTTGTTCGGGAGAGCAGAAGGAATTCATCCGTTTTGTTGGGTAGAGAGCGGCGGTTCGCCAGATGGATGCTAGGCAACGGGCGTTCTGAGTCTGCGCTGCCTGAGCTTCACGAGCGCGCCGGCTCTCTTCCCCCGTCTGCGCGTCCTGAAGCGTTTGATCAGCGCCACAGCTCCCCCGACTACAATGTCCAGTAAAACATCAGAATAGTCGAAAACCGGTGAAATATCGGGTGGTGTGTACTGCCGAATATCCAGCAATTCGTCTCTGGTGAAACTGATTGCAGGGATATAACTAAAAACAGGACAAACTAACAAAAACATAAAAACAACTGTGGAGCACGCCACGGAGGCAGCCATCAGCGTCGGTGCCATCTCCGATTTCCGAGTCAGCCACACCTACCTAAAATGGCTCGTTCTAACACGCCCCCACATATCTACATCACTATGTGGGAAGATTTGCATAACGCCGCCCAAATGTTCACGCAAAGAATGAAGGCGTAACTTTTATTCTCGCTGTAGTATTGTTGCCGCCGCCATGTCGTGAAGGCACTGTGTTTCATTGTGAAAGCGAAACTACTTTGTAAAATTTTTGTGGAAAATAATGTGTTTTTTTAACCTTAAACCGCATAAACACATTTCATTACACCAATTATTGTGACATTCTGAGGTGTGTGACCCTAGCGGCAACCTTCCGGTCTCTCTCGTAAAACCAACACGGAAGTGACTTAAACTGTAATTCGTCAACTGGCCACTAGAGGCTGGCTGCAAAAGGGAGTCAATCCCATAGACTCCCCATGTTAAATGCCATAATGCAAAAAATCCTAGAAAGTGATGGTTTTGTTCTTGTGAGATTCACCCGAACGTTAATGCTAATTAATTACTAGAGGGCAAAGCTTTGATGGGGGCTGAATGTTGATTTATACACCCCTGTGGTTCAAGAGTTCCCTCTATTATAGGCAACAGAACATGATTTTCAGTATATTAGCTGTTCCCCTCTGAATAAGATTTAATAATACAAGCCTCGCTGCTTTCTAGTGCAGAAAAATGTGGGCGACCCGAGACATTTGAAAACATGAATTCATGCTTGGAAATCTTCAGGATTGAGGAGTGTCAGCATCAGCAGAGTTAGAAGATCAATCTGTCACTGAAGACAGCAGCGCTCAACCTCCTGCTGTACATAACATGCCTGCAACAGGATATATTTGGATTTGCGTGTATATTTGTGTCAGCGCACCTTCAGTTCAGTTCATCCAGCACTGCTGTGATGAGCTTCAGTGTTTACCAGCTACCTATTAACTGCTTCTCACGGCTTTTTAGTACAAATTTTAAAGCATGGCATTGGCTTCAGAATAGACAGACAAACTCTGGTTGCACAACTTCAGTTTCTGCATAAATTAGTGATAAAATGTGATTTAACAGGACATTTTGCCTGAGAATATAAGGCCATCTGTAACCCAACAGAAGTCGAGGACAACGATCCAAAGCACAGGAGTGAATCAACAACACAATGGCCTTGGAAGAAAATATATGCCTTCTGGAGTAGTTTGACCTTAACCTGAGATGGTTTGGCATGAGAGATTCACAACAGACACCCCAGAATACTGCTGAACTGAAACAGTTTTCTAAAGATGAATTAAAAACTATCCATGGGTTCACATACTTCTTCCACCCTGCACTTGGAATCTTTACACAGTGTTCAAAGTCTGCTTTGTGTGTCAGTTGTTTTAATGGGCTATGTCTATACATTTTGTCTATTGACTTAAATTATAAGATCAAATTTGATGACAAATTTATGCAGCAATCATTTTGAGCCAATGTTAAGTATTTAACAACTTCTGCATTTTTTGTCGCCAGCCTGGTTTTCTATTGCTATAGTATTGACTTGATTACACAGTGCATCTGTGCAGAGATTCATGAATTATTCACGAATCAACTGGTCATCACAGTCTCCATTCTACACACCAAAATGGTGCACTTCTGTATTTTCTCATGTTTTGAGCTCATTGTTAATCATTTTCTACGTTTAGGCCTATATGATGTTAAAGTTACCAAAATGGATGTTATATCACTTTTAAAAAGTGTTAGTAATAGGTCCCCTTCAAATTGTAGTTGTAGTTTGTAGTTTCATGTTCATGTTCAAGTTCATGCTAAATTCATATTTGGTCACGCTATAATGCTACAGAAACGCCACTTTTATGTTGATGCATAGAAATGCCATAAGAAGCAGATAAACATTTCTACAAACGGAGAGAAATGGCAGCTTCTGCAACTTAAATATCGGGTTGTTTATTACCAAAACCAGAGTATCAGAGTACATGGAAAAATTATCCTTGTACTTTTTTGCTGATGCGCTTAAGTGTTGTATTATCCATTTAATTTAGTTACTACTGCCATTGTATTGAATTCACCCAACTGGTATATATTCATAAAACTATTTAGTTCACCCAAAAATGAAAACTCTGTCATCTCTTTTTTTTTTTTTTTACTTGTAAGCCTTGTGTTCTGCAGATAAAAGCAAGTACATGTTTTAAAAAATAATGACAGAATTTTCACTTTTGGTTGAATTATCCATTTGAAGTCTTAAATCTTCAGTTTTAGAGTCTGCTACTAATGATGCATGAGAGTGTATGTGACACGCTCACTGATTACACTCAGAAACAATAGCTTTCTGCTGACAGCCAATGAGATCCACAGTAGCACAACATTACCATTACAACTAATGGAGCGGAAGAAATGGCACAGCGGTAGAAAAGACTTATATAACCCTTGGGGAACCAGAAAGGGAAATGCTGCCTGCATGTGACAAAGCTCTGATTATATGGACATTTTCTGTTTCAAGTCTCCAGAGCTCTTTTCTCGAGCTATAACGGAGAGACTAACACAATCTAACATCCACTCAGGTTAATCCACCTCAGGAACAAAGTCATTTCAGGACATTTAGTGCATATGATTCGGGATGCACTCCTGTCAAGCCTCGAGCTGACGTTGCTCATCTTCAACGACAGAACAGACTTTAAGAGGCATAGTCCTGCTGTCTTAGGAAGAGATGAGGCTATAAATAGAATCACACTGGCACACATACACACACACACACACACACTGCTTTCTGCCTCTTTCTCAGACAGCACACAAGTATTTCTTCACAGGCAACCCTTCCAAATATCGTTTTGCTTCAGTTGCTGTGGTTGGGAGCAAGCGTTGTGCTTATGAAGGCTGCGGTGCTTTTCCTTTTCGCTGCTTTTTTGCCTCTAGTGTTCACGTGAGTGGGACCACACAGACACAGAGCAAGGTCAATAATTTAGTAAGCCCACCAAAGTCCATTATACTGCATTTATAATGGATCACAGCTTACTGGCAAATTCTCCTTAACAAAGGAAACAACTGGACTTTGCAAACCCAGTCCAGTCTATGCAATATTCCATCACATTGTATAAATGACCGACCAATATATCCTCAAGTTCGGTTACCCCTTACCTTTTTTTAAGCATTTAAGGCACAAATCCCATGCTTCTGTTGAGCAAAATGCAATGAACAGAATGCAGGGTTCTCAAAAACACTCTTTTAATGTGGCATAACATCTTTAAAACATGGCACTCATGGCATGAGATGCTGAAAAGACAGCGAGACGCATCACAGCTGTTAGGCCAGCGTGTTTACAAAGTACAATAATTACATTTTTTTATAAAATAAAACATCTTAGGTTGACAATCAAAGTAGGACGCATCCTAAATGAATGTGTGTTGTTCTGTACAAAGAAAAGAATTTACAAAGAGTTGCTAAGCAATAGTGTTGTCAAAAGTACTGGTACTTGAGCACTGTAGCCAATCACAGACATGTTTGCTGAGCTTGTGAACAAAAAGGCCAATCAGAGGATTTAAAGTTAGTCAGAATCTGCTCAAACTTGCTGGGTTTGTCCCTATTTTACCCAGCACTGGGTTGTATTTAACCCAGCATTTTTTAGAGTGTACCATGATATAATATTTTGGTCATATTGTCTACTCCTATCCAGCACACACAGAGATGGAGAACAAATCTCATTACACTCTAGACTGAGAAAGAGCACACAGTTTCTGAACACTAAGTGTTTCACGTATGTAAGGTTTAAATGGCACATGCTTCAAAGAAATACCATGTTACATATTATCAGCTGAACAAATGTTTGCACCATGCTTGCTTCCAGATTTGTTTGTGTGTTTTTCACACCACTTCATGTAGTTCAGCACTTGTGAATTGACATAATGCATAATCCCACGCAGTGATGTGATTTAGTGTAAGAGTGCGCCTTCCAGAAACATCCAAGCCGGCCCAAACTCTCACTCAACTTCCAGCACAGCTTACTACAGACTCCAGTCAAGGATGTGCTAAATCCCCCATTTAATTAATCTAAAATACAAACAAAGATAATTAACCAATCTGGAGGGAAAGTGAAACTCCACGGTGGGGAAAAAAATGAAGCATGAAGGCAATCCCACTTGAGCAAACAAAAATATCATTGTTCTCTGTCCAATTAATTGGAAAGGAGAATTGATGCTGATAAAATGAAAAGTTCTACATCAGGGACTTTATAAAGTTAGAAAGCTTTACACATGCAGGTGTGCTTTGATAAGGTCACAGACAGCTGGGAAATACATTGTTAAATGCAAATGCTGCACAGAACACAATGCTGTAATTTTTATAAGCTCACAATATACACAGGTCATTTCATATATGTGATTTAACCCTTGTGCATCAATTAAAAAAAGTTACATGTAGGTCCATAGTGGACAAAAATGTCCATGTCAAAAAACTGTCATAAAAAATTTGAAGCTTGGGAGCACAGAGTTAAGTTTGGTCTCATTTTAAAGAAGACCCATGGCAGATTAATGCTGACGTAAAAAAAGTTTAAAAAGTGAAACCAAAAAAAAAGTTCTAGATGTTTAGGTTTATGAAAATGATTTATGAACGATGTTTTATATAAAAATATATATTTTATGAAACATGTTGAACTCTATACCTGCTAGAAAATCAAAGCCATAAATCTAAACAAGTTGTATTCCAAATTTGAGGTTGATATCTCAAAAAATGAGCTTTCAGTAAGATTTTGTTTGGGCGCAGTACCAAATTTTCCCCATTAGATGCCAGCAAAACTCTGCTGGTGCACACAGTGGTTGGATTTGTGATTTGCAGTAGACTTTTTCTTTCTCAAATATTACAAGAACACACATTTATTTATGACACACATACAAACCACACTCTGACATCCATACCAACACACCCACACAATTATAGCTGCATTATTTATCCAATTGGCTCTATAATATGCAGAAGCAGAAAACAGAAATAAAGCAAGTATGCAAGTAT